TATCCCCTCTCCAGTGAAATCCATTTAGCCCAATCTCTGTGGGGAGGCATAACCCACCAAGAGCCTGTGCAGCTTCACTTCATTTTCCCAGGTTTGGATGGAAATTCAGGACAACATTACAATTTTAAGTAAAGATCCTCAGAAACTGTCTGGTCCTTACTGCTGCTTGGCAGGAGGGCTACAAAGGGTTAAAGTCATTTCCACATTCACTTGTGGTCTAGCTGTCAATTTTCAGGAGCCCAGTTTAATATTCTTCCTTATCTTCCATACTTCTACATAGCAATTTGAAATTTAAATGACACCGAAGAAAAGCATATGCAATCTGTTCCATAAATAAAAATGTCTAAAATACTGCATAATTTCCTCTTTCAAACTGCAAGATTGAAAGACATATTTTAAGAGTTGTAAGACACCACGTCTGACATCATCAAATTACGCTCAGTCCAGGCTTAACCATAATTTCTGAAGATAAACAAGATTTGGGGTTTCTTTCTTAGCTCAAGCTCATCACTTCTTTGCAAAAGGCACAACCTCACCCTGGCAGTTGACACCTCACCCATCACCTGAGCACAGCAGGCTTGAAAGGAAAAGGTTCTGAAAGTGCTCTCAGATTAATGGTGTGAAGTCCCTTAGCTACCAAGAAGTCCAAGCTGTCAAGGCATCAAGGTGGCCTGCCCAGCCAACACTGACAAGTCCATCCCAACTAATCTACAGGATAAGGGAAACTGAAACAGCATTCAGAAGAAATTTTGGCAAAAATTCTTCATTAGTAACTTCATTAGTTAATGATCTCAATACCGGCTGAGAATACATACCTTTTATCCAATGATTTAAGAAACAACCACACAGAGGAAGGACAGAAAGGCACACCAGGATATTCTGGGAAGTTCTCTGCATCACCTACTGTTAGCTCAAGAATAAAGACACCCAAACACCTGGTCAACAGATGAAAAATTACTTCTGCATATTTAAAGCAGAATCATCATAGAGTCAGCAGTTTAATTCATTAAGTACAGGAGAGAGCAGGTGACAGCTCAGATATGAAGGCTGTCACCTGACCAGAAGACTGGAAAGAACTCAAGTGCAGCAACAATAACCATAGGACAGGAGGATCTTGGCAGGGCTATGATTAGAAGCACTGAAAAGTGCACATTAGCTCCCAAACAACAAAATAGACAAACCTTGAGGATCTTTAAGGAATCAGCCCACGAAATTGAACACTCCTAGTTTCATGCTAGGAATGGTGGGTGAGAAAAGGTCACCTCAGCATACTGAGATCCTTGCCACCACAGGCAAACAGCAGGAATCCTGAAATCCTGGAAACCTGCTGAATGTCTGAAAGAACATGAGCTTGCAGAGGTGAGGTGCTCTGATCTGCTCAAGCTGAAGAGAGACAAGTTTTGCCTTGATCCACAAATGCAGGAAGGAATTACGTTCTGAATATACCCAAAAAGATTAAAACACAAACGAGGTTAAATGTTGGGATCCAAAGTGGTAACTTCGTAGAACAGGAAAGAAGGAGAAAATAGGAAAGTAGGAGAATGCCAAGAATGATGATGAGAAGCACAGGAAAGGGGTTACCCCCACATGGCTCCAGCTTTGGCTCACAGAGTGCCATGGGGAGATCTCCTGGGGGCTTTTCCCTGGGTTTTCCCCAGGGACCCTCCCAGAGCTGCCCAGCCAGGGAGCAGAGTCACAGCAGCACCAGTGGGGTGGAGCAGCCAGGACAGCAAAGACTCCAGCACTTTGTTGGCCTCACAGATTTTGGCAGGTTGGGCACTTGCTTAGAGAGGGTTTCGTGAGTGGCAACCTCATGTCCACTTCACAGCAACAACACAGCATTGGTGAACTTCATCTCTGATCCCCTAAAATCCATGGGCTGCTCCTCGGTATCCAAGTTCACCTGATGTTCCCAAAGCTTATTGCTCCATTCCCTAGCCTATCAACTACAAGGTCTTCCAATGATCTTCAGACAGGGTGCCTCATTTTCCAAAAGAAAGCAGTTTAAAGCTTTCACTTTCAAACCTTAAATCTTCCAAGATTCAAGGGAGAAACATTCACAGCTTTGCACTCGTTCACCACAGGACTGTCTGGTGAGTGGACAGTCACATTTCCTGAGCAGCTGTTTCCAAATAGTTCTGTGTCTAGAGAAGCCCTAACAGATGATCCAACTCAGAATTATTTGCACTCAATGCAAGTCACAGCTCTTTTAAGAGGTATGAATATTATCAGTGAAGAGACACAGTAAAATAATGGTGTTTTTTTCCAAATATCTGACATTACTCAATTCAAATTCACTGAGCTGTACACACAGTATCGTTTCAAAAAGCATTATGCAAAAGATAGGTTCAATTCCAAGCAACTTTGCAACTGCACATTTTAATTCTTATTTAAAGAAAGCGATTCTTAAGGGCTTGTTACCATTAAAACATAATAGCTTGAGATTAGAGGTTTTATACAGAATTTAGTACCTCTTTTTGCTTAGCAGAAGACTGCATTTTACACATTTATGTAACTAAATAGCTTAATTTTAAATCAAACTTTTAGCTTCCATGTTGTTAAAATAGTGACTGACATCTCCCATTTACTTGATGATACTCTTTATTTAGATTTGCCAGGCTGCATGGTTGGAGAATCAAGTAAATATAGACAAGCTGTATTTTAAAATGCGTCATTCAATTGAAATATTACATTTTGTTTTAAACACAAACCAGTTTTGACTATGCATTTGTGTTCCATTAATAGAAGCAAGAGTTTCTACTTAATAGATCAAGATTTCATTGGAACAAATAAATCTCATCAGCTGAATTTCTACTTGGAGAACAGATCTTTTTTTTCTGTTTCCCGAAGTCCCAGTATCCCAGCTTCAACTGAACTAGTAAATGAACTGAATTAAATTTAAAAACTAGAAAACGTTCCTCTTCTGTGTCTAGAGGCAGCTAATCCTGAGAGAAAAAGGGTTACAAGGTCAAGTTCCAGAGCCAATTGTTTAGCTGATAACTTCCTCTCAGCTTAAGAGTTTTCACATGTATTTATTCCGATTTTTAAAATGATCTTCAAACTACCCAAACTTTAAATACAGGAACAAGATTAAGCAGATAATCAGTAACAAGCTTTAAAAATATGAAGTTTATTTAGGAAAGAACGCATACAAGTGAAAACTGCCTTTTGAAAAGAGTGAGTTTTCCTCCACCCTTAGTAACTGGTGACTTTCTATGCAGCATAGAAAAATAGTAAAATCTGAGCACTCTTGAACTCCAATACCACTGCATTATTTCTAATGTTTTCTAATTAAACCTTCAACTGATGAACAAAACCTGGACATTTCAGTCATGTGACATCAAAGAAGAACACTAATGACACCTTTTTACCAGTTTATAAGGGAACAGTTCACAGTAAATAAAACAGCAACCTAATCCCCTGCCTTCAATTGTCTTGCTTTTGTCCTTTACTACAATTCAAGACTGAAGGTGATTTGTTGGTTAATTTTTTGCTAATATTCCAATATTTTTAGAAGAACTATAAATTTAAAGTAATTTTCTATGCTAAATGGACCCTTGCACAACATCAGTTTGGACTTGATCTTGGAGGCCTTTTGCAACCTTAATGATTCTATGGTGACACAATATCAATCTCAGAAGAGTTATTTAAAAAATTACAGGTCAGAAATACATTTCTGGCCCTGTCATCCACACTTTTGCTCCTTTGGAAGACCATTCACTGTGTCTGAGCAAGAGCTTATCAATAAAAAACATCAAACTCAACAGCAAAGTTCTATTGTGGATGTATTCAGGAGAGAGAGAAAAAACTCAACTGTTTTTCAAACACAAGGGAGAATATTTAGTTTGATTTTTTCAAAGGAACTAAACATCACAGCTATCCTAGGCCTTGTGAAACTGGAAGCTTTACTCACACAACGTTTGAAAGCAAAGAACACAGAAGTTTCTTGTCTTTAAGAGTTCAAACCTTTTTAGAATTAGGGATTAGCAGTATCACATGTGGAAATGCAGAGTGGAAGAGTTTAAAGCCTTGTCTTCAGCACAACTTTCCATATATCAACAAAGCTTCACTGTAAGTCCTGGAAAATCCAAGGACTTTTGACAGCAAATAAGGTCTAGAGGCAGAAAGTTAATTTATTCCATTTTATCAGTTCCTCTCCTTCCTCCAGCACTGATTTGAGCCTTTAAACAGAGGGAATAAAGCAGGCAAATATCTAAAGTTTGCCAACAGAGTTCTTTGCTGCAGGAGTCACTAAGGGGAGGCATTTGGCCAAAACTGAAGGAAAAAGGAAACAAAAACAAAAAACAACCTGTACTTTTTAACCTCCATCCTCTTCATTATAAACAAAGGAGTAACTGGCAAAAAATGCATTTTTTACCTAGCTTACTGAAAAGTTAAACCAAATTTTAAAATCTTTCAGCATTCATTAAAATCATTGGACTCATTAAGCTGGTGATAAACAAGTCAGTATGGAATATTTTTCCTAAGAAAAACAAAACAAAATAACAGTTGTCACTTTTGGCTTTTCCAGGTGATTCTGTAAATGTTATACAGTCCTACTCACAAAAGGGTCCTCACACACATCATTCCCATTGCTGAAAATCATCCACAGACACACTTATTGCATTGACAACCTTTGAGAAATAAAATCCTGTTACAATTTATTGCTGAATTAAAAAAAAAAAAAAAGAAACTGCAGAAATGTAGAGGAACTTAAGAGCACTGTCCCAGTTAAACACTGTTTAACTCAGGTCCATCACATTCAGCTTCTAAAAGTTAGAAACACAGAATGGTTTGGGTTGGAAAGGACCTTAAAGTTCATCTAATTTCAACACTCTGTTGACTGACTACCACCAAGAACCCCCTCAGGCATACACAGAATTCCCCAACTTCCATGCTTTCCAGTCCTTCCCAAATTAATTGTATTTCAAAACAGAGTCACATTATTTGACTGTGGGTCAGAAGCAAGTGCAAATATCCACTTCTTTAAGAAGTCCTACCTTGGTCAGAAAGGAAATCCAGCATGGTCTGGAGCAGGAAGGAGAGATGTCTCACACACAGGGCAGGATTGCCCATCCTCCTGGAAGCATAGACGAGCTCATGGAGCAAACGCATCTGCACTGCAGCCCATCCCCTGTGAGTTCCTGGAAAAAATGCAGGTATTGAATGTATTTTAAAGCTGGAAGTCATCACAAACACATTGATTTTTGGTTTTGTTCATATGCTAAGCAGTAATTTTATGGCACTTATACCAACCACCCAATGGTTGTTACAAAATCCAAACAAAAAACAGGATTGTTGTATTTGCTTGGATATCTAAACATGAAATCAAGTTTTGCTTTACATGTTTGTCTATTGACTAATAAATGTACAATTAAAATTCTGAAGACAAAGTTAACACTTCCCAAAAACCAAAAGTAAACACAAAACCTTTAAAGTTTTATATATTTTTTTAGTTCTCTGGGCAATGAACATGAGATTTCATATAGAAATTGAAATCACAGAATCACAGAATGGTTTGGATTGGAAAGAACCTTAAAGATTATCTATTTACAACTCCCTACCATAGGCAGGGACACCTTCCCCTAGACCAGGCTGCTTAAATCCCCATCCAATCTGGCCTTGGACACTTCCAGGGATGGGGCAGCCACAGCTTCTCTGAGCAGCCTCTGCCAGGACCTCACCACCCTCACAGTGAAGAATTTCTCCTTAATATCCAGTTTAAACCCACTCTTTCAGTTTGAAGAAGCCATTCCCCTTGTTCTGTCACTCCATGCCCTTGTAAAAAAAAAAAAAAAAAAAAAAAAAAAAACCACACCAAAAAATTCTTAACTCTCTTTAAAGATCAAGCAAGAGATATTTTCTCTAAACACTTTCCTGGGCAACAGAAGCAATAAAACTTTAGAACACAAGGCAGATATCCTGACTTTCAGTCTTTAGTTTCAGACTATGAATTACTTCATATTTACAGAGTATCTGTGGAAGAAATAAATAGACCATCATAACATAACCTTCCTGCCAGAACCATAGCATGCAGCACTCTTCATGAAGCTTAACCTGCTTTTAGTAGTAAGCAACAGCAATAATTTTTAAATAACAGATATTTCAAGATGTGCAATACTTCATAAACTTCAACAGCCTTCCTTGTAATATCACCCATCAGCATTTGGCACACTGTTTTAGGAATATTTACTGCAACCAAACCTTGAGAGTTTATATTTTGAGAGTCTCATTATTTTTCATGTGTGAAATGTCATTTCTATCTTAGAGTTTGCAGTGATCTTTCCATATGTCTCTGAAAGAGCCATTTCAGGGATAAAAAATAAGAACGCACTTCAGTGCAACATGAAGGTAAGGTAAAATGAAAGATAAACACCAATCATGTCCTTTCTTTGCTTTAATTATAATTTCTTACAGAACTTTCACGACTTCTTCTCCCAACACAGTCCCATCCCAGGCCACAGTATATTTTTCCCAGCACATTCCCTCTTCCTAGATTCTCAGCATCTTTCCACCCAGTCCACTTGGCATTTGCTACCTCCTCTCACATATAATTTTGATTGCCAAATCACAACATTTTTAAAAACCCCAACACTAACCATCCACAAATACATCTCAGCCCATCACTTCCTGCTCCTCTCCTGCAGCTACAACATTTAGGGAATGGTCCCCCAACTGCTGCTGTATAACACAATGCAAGGTTTTGGAATGGTGCACTCAAAAGGAGCTGCCAAGCAGCATTTTGGCTTTCTTTGATCTCATTTGTGGGAAAATGTGACATATTTGACCCTATTAATTACATTATATGTATCCATGGGTGTCTATATGCAAAATTATGTAAAAGGATTTTTAACCTTTCCTTATAAGATCAAACAGCTACAAAACCAAAAGAAATACAATTTCTGATGGAACAGCTGAAGGCACTTTAATTGAAAAAATCATCCAGATTAATGTACGACCTTTAATGCACTGAGAAGCATGTTATAAAAACAAAGACATTTTTGAAAAATATAAGAAACTAAGCTTTCATAAATAACACATAATTACTTCCTGCAAACAGGAAACCACAGAAACACATTCAGCAGTGGCTTGCAGAAATCTGAAATTACTGGAACAACATCAAGAAAAAGCGAAGGTACAGTGTTAAACAACTGCTTTACCTGCTGCAATTAGTTTCAGATAAGCAAATAATTTAGGTCCGGCACAAAACCTCTCCAGGAAATTATTATGGAAAGCCAGCTAAGCACCCAGCTGTGGTAACCCACACTGACCTTTGCTGAAGTCCTGAGGGTCCAGGGAGAGGCTGTAGCCAGGCAGGGTCTCCAGCAGCAGTTTGTAGCAGGCTCTCCAGCCGGGCTCGGGGATGCTGGGGGCCGCGCACTGCATGGCCGCGATGCGCTTGAAAAACGCCGATTTGCGGTGGAAACCGATGCGCTCGTACAGCTCCGACAGGATGCTGTAACGCTGGATCTTCTCCTCTTCTGAGAGCTGCAGTTGGAAGGGAGAAGAGGAAAGGACTGGTTTGTATCAAAGATTGAAAGAGCTGAGTTTTAAAAAACAAACGGGAGAGAACCACGGTAGCAGACATTGGCGCCGCAGAAGGCCGGGGATTTGCACGCAGCCAGGCACGACAGCTTCTGCAGCCAGGAAAACTTCAGCTTGGTTCAACTGCTAACAAAAACTGCAAAGATGAAGTTCTGCAGCTTCAATTTTATTTGTCAGTGGTACTAAAAAGTAAACAGCCAGTAACAGCTAAACAGCTCCACATTGTATGGAAGATACTCAAGATGATATTCATGTGAATGAAAGGAGTGCAAAAATATACCACTTCCAAGATTTACTGATTTAATAAGATTTTCATCTCTTGAAGATTAGATTTAATCTTGAAATCTCAGGCTATGAAAGCAAGAAACTGTCTTGATTTTTATGTCTCTAATCTTGTAAGCCACAAATTTTTTCATTCCATGAAATCATACTGTGATTTATACACTGTGAGACTGAATCACAGAATCATAAATGGTTTGGGTTGGAAGGGACCTTAAACATCATCTTGTGTCAACTTCCTGCCACGGGCAGGAATGTCTTTTTCTAGACCAAGTGGCACCAAGCCCCATCCAACCTGGCCTAGAACACTCCCAGGGATGGGGCATCCACAGCTCCTCTGGCAAACCTGTGCCAGTGCCTCACCACTGCCTTGCATGAAGCAAGTTTTGCAGGGCAGCAGTGAGTTCAATGGGAGCTTTTCCCAACAAAGTATAAAATAATGTTAAAGTAGCAAAACATCATAGAAAGACAGATCCAGATTTCTCCACTGAGTCAAATATTGGAACAGCCTGCCCAGCATCATGGCGGAGTCACCATCCCTGAAGGGCTTTAAAATATGTGTAGATGTGGCACTTGGGGACATGGTTCAGTGTTGGGCTTGGCAGTGCTGAGTTAATGGTTGGTCTTGAGGTCTATTCTGACCTAAACAATTCCATGATACATTTGCACACTGCCAACAAGTGAAGTGGAATTTATTTAAAGTCCCGTTAGGCTTAAAGTTGAAACCAACTTGATAAGGAACTACCACCATTTGCTTCTTTAGCTTATCAGTGTGTTGGCCTAAATCCCGGGTGAATTAATTCTTTTTGCCTCTGGCCTGAATGATAATCTTGGTTTGGAGTCAGCCAGCCACGAAGAAACTGCCAGAGGAACTCTGGATGATTCCTACTCTGTGTCCCAGGAACCAGCAGTGCAGACCAATGCTGACACCTAGTGCACAGGATGTGGCACAATCAAAAGCAATAAAACATACTTTAAACTACTCTAAAGCTGCCAGCACGTTTTGCAAAGGCGTTTCAAGTGACAAACTTCACCCAAAAATAGCCCTAAAGGACAGAAACAGTAACTCATTCTTCAAAACTGGAAGTATCAATCAGTGTGTTTAACTTCAGACATTTAAAGGCTTGGACAGTCAAGGGAAGCTGCTCACCACACTGGTTGGTTTTTACAGAAATGATTATGTCTTGTAAGAAGAGCTTCAAAATGTCCTTTAGCCACTTAAATCCTGATATACTTACAAAAAGCAGTCTGTTCTCAAAAGTAATTTCTAATTTTGGACATAGGGATAGGAGACATATCAAAGAAGAGTTATCAGAGGGCACCACAATCTTATCTGACAGTTCAAATCTTTGTACTTCAGGATATGAGGAAACACAGAGAGTAGCAAGGCATTTTGGAGAGCTTCAGACAATTTTTGAAGCTGAAGTTGATGTTTTTTTCAGAACTGATAACAGAAGACAGTGCCCAAAGCAGAAGTACTGCCAATCCCTAAGAAAGACCAAGCCTTGTAACAAGAGTTGTGAAAAAAGGTCACTGCACCAGGGTGAAAACTTCCAGAAACCAATGCAGCTGCACAAAATATAAAACACAAACGGAAAACTCAGAAAAATTTTGGAGAAGTTATCAGAGTTCCTAAAAGCAATCATTCAGAAAGAACATGAGCTGAAGTTACCTATTTATGCCATTTTAACAGGTTAGAACAATAAAAAAATGTGGCAGCAAAGCTGAAAAGGGCACAAGCACATGATCAGGAAATAAAGCAAAAAAAGCTTTAAAAAACCCTATCAAAAGCTATTCCTTAAGTACAAATACTGACAATGTTCACTAAATTCTTTAAGTGATAAAAGACAGTCATGCTGTCATATACATGGCATATACATTCATGTCATATTAAGGTAGACAGGAGCACTCACTAATAATTGAAACAACTATAGAAGAGGCAGCAAATTCCCAGGAATTTTTATTTTCACCATATCTAAGTTTTTACCACTGTTACATAACTTGCTGCTTAATGGCTGCCCCCAAAGTTACTCAAGTATTTTCCTCAGCTGCAGAAACCCCTTTTTTATTATCACCACAAAGACAGAAAAATTGCATTTTCCTGAGCACAAACAGTTATGTGTTACCATTCAGGAATCTGAAAGAAGAAAAATGGAGAAAAAGCCACACAGATACTACTCCAAGTAATTAATTCTGGGAAGACTGCAGCAGGCATTCTGCAAGCCATGGGTGCAGCATCTGCAAATATCTTTCCTGAACTCATGAATTTATAAAAGCTTAACTGTAAAGTGGCTGCAAAACAGCCACCACCTGAAGCACAGCATCATTTCCACCTGATTAATTTTTACTGAACTGCCCTACCAGACAAAGTTATAACTCCACCTGAAAAGGCTGCAGGTCACTATCCAGGTAATAGAGCCAGTTTTTTTCTCTGGCTTGTTTCAAGTCAGGCTTTCAAAGAATGCAGCTTTTTATTTGTTTTTTAATTATTCCTTATTACATTAAAATTTTATAATCTCACTTTCTCTGTAATTATATTTTACAATTTATTTCTCAGAACTGGATGCAAAGTTATGTCTTATTACCCTGCAGTTCATCAGAAAATACCAATTACATTATATTACTAGACTGAGTATGAAATTGAATTTATGGATGGGTACTAGTTTTCCTGTTTATAAGTCTTACAGTTTAACCTGTGAGGTATTTTTCTGCTGCAGAATATTGGTTGTGCTGATGTTCTGTTTATCTACAAATTAAAAGCAATGTCCTACAGTTTATTCCCTCACCCATAACAGGATGACCCCTCCTCTGAATTAGTCCAAATTATAAATACAACTCTTATTTGTTTCCATGCTTAATACAGCAAATCTTAAAGAACTGTAAATACAATTCCCATCCATAAAAAGTGAAAGTTGCAATATATGTGGTGTCAGGGAGAACAGGGGATTATCTTAATGGCAGTAATTGCTTCCAGAAAAAGCAGCAACAATATTGGAGTCTGCAGGCAACAAGAATAACAGCACCAGAACAAGAGGATGGGTGAACAACAAAGGGTGCAGAACTGCCAGCAAAAAAACAGGTCACAGAATTAAAGAGAAGGCCTTTAGCACTACAAGGATTATGGCAATTAAGGCACTCTGTAAAAAGACTGATTATTTTTATAACAGCTTATCAATTAATTATTGTCTCATTTATGCTTTGTTAGAAAATTGATTCCAGAGAAAGGATTCTTTGCAAATGAAAGTATTCTACCCCCCTCATAAATCTGCTGTCCCTGCCTGGGCCTAATAAGGTCAATGGTATGGACTTAAACTGCTCATCTTACCAAGATGTAATGAGCAAAATCCAAAAGCCAGTAAGAAACTTAACAGCTTTTTATTAGATCTTTCAACCACAGCAATCTCTCCGTGAGCAGTGACACCAAGTTTGAGACACTGCTCAAGTGTTAATGTTGTTTTGTGGTGATACTGAGCACTTTCCACACAGTTCCAAACACTGATTTCCCCCCTGAATTCCTTTCTGATTTGGGTTAATTAAGACTTTGCACCACACAACAAAAATTCAGTTGATTAAGAACAGTAATCAGACCCTTCAGCTCACTCTGCAACAGGCCATTCCTGATTTCCTCAGTTTCATTGAATGAGATGCAATCAAGAAAATTTAAAAAATCCACTGCAGAGCAGTCCCAGGCAGCTTTTTTTCCCTAGTACAGCATCACAAGAGAACAACAATGGGATTTTTTTTTACCTTCACGAGGGAGAAGAAGCAACAGAGTTTAATCTCAAAGTAAGTCCTCATGTTTTTAGATGAACTCTCAATACCTTCACAGATGTGAAAATCCTCAGAAGTCAAGCTCTCGTCAGAAGGAAGGCAGCGGTACAAAAAATAAACTGCATTCTCCTGAATCTAAGTAACTTTCAGTATATTCTGTCAAATGACAATGGAAAAATAATTGGACTTTCCAACTGACCTGCCGAAGGTTGATATAAACTGCATTTTGCAGAAACTCAGAGGCTTCCATGCTCCTCTTCTGCATTGCCAGGACTCTCACAGCCTTCACACAAGCTTCCAGTTCGATCACACCAGCGTTCTTGTACTTGGAGAGGGAGAAAATTAAAATAATATTGAAGTATTGCACCTGTTAGATTTTATAAGCACTTCTGCTCAGCACATAAATCAGCTGTCACATCCTCCAAACCCAGCAATTCCTTAATGCTAATGACTACACTTTATCAACATATCAAATTATCAACATATGCCCAAGTGAAAATTAAGGTGTCATCTAAAATATTATTATGCAAAACAGCTGTTTTCAGCCTCTTCACCCACTGCTCCCATTTTGAGACAGAGCACAGCTTCAGTCTGAGAGTTCAGATGAGGAGAAAAGCTGGGAATATTGGAATCGTTTGGGACAACTTCATATAAATGGTTGGTTGTGGGTGTTGCGTCTGCAAATAAATTCTACCTTTACAATGCAAATATTTTTATTACTGCATCCATTTTCTCTTTAGTTAAAACAATATTCCTGATGACAAGAAAATTAAAAACCAATCTGAATGTTCCAGTACTTGTTTGCAAACCCTTTGCTGTAAATGACTGTTTAGTAATTTAGCTTGCTTAAGGATGCGAAGGAGACAATGCAGATGGTGCATTGTGCTCAGATAACAAACAGGCAATTTTCCGGCCAGATAATCTGATTTGGAGATTTCCTCAAACAACACTGATACTGGATATTTGATTTGGCCCACCTCCTGTTCAAAATAAGCTCTTCAGGTATTTATATTTGAAAACTAATGGGGGAAATGAAGTTCAATAACAAAATGCAAGAGTTATGCCAGCAAAGCTGTCACATATTCCTCTCTAGTTCATTTATACTAGCAAAAGCAAATCACTGGAGATTGAATCTATTTTAGAAGGTGCTACAAAAGTTTTTTCAGCTGAGTGAGAACATAAAAAATATTCAGAAAGTGCTGCCTCCTCAGCATTAGAGCAAGGAGTTACTTCGTAGGTCTGGAACAGACACAAGGTAACTGTGCTTGTCTTGAAAGGTTATAAATCAGTCCTGGCACAAAGCTCTTTGTTACTCCAACTGAGCTGCAGTGAAGCACAGTTATTACTTGCTGAGAGCACAGTGCATATTATAATCAAAATATAAATATCCTACCCTGAGCCAAACAAAGTCCAATAATTTTATACTTCCAGAGACATCACACTCTTTCTAGATGAGCAATGTACCCTTAAGGTAAATGTATTAAAAAGCTGAATGCATCCTTGACAGTTATTGTTTTACTGATGGATTCTAATTTATCTGACACTGTGCCCAGAACTATCACCTTTCATTGCTCCTGATCATAAATTACTCATGCACACAATTAAACTTGTTTCACTTGGAGAGTCCCCCTTCAACATGGACATGAAAATGCCCGTAACAAATATTTACAAGCTTAGTCTAAAGATACTTTATCAGATAAGAGAAATACCTGAAATTAAAAAGTGATTAAATAACTCAACTGCAATACAATTAAACTTATCTTTACTGTTGATGTGGTCACTGAGCCATTATTTTCACAGTTCAAAACAATCCTTTTTCTTTTCTGATTATGATTGCAGACATTAAGCTCCTTTTCCATCTCAGGCTCTGAGCAGTTGCACAAAAAACTAAAAACTGCTCCAGTACAGCTGGAACCTATTTTACAAACCTCACTGCCATGTTTTAAATGATCCTCCAAAACTAAAGCCTCAGCAGTTCACTGTTTAAAAAAACTTAAGGTGTTTATTTAAAAATAAGCAGGATTACCTTGCCATAGTAAGAAATAGCTTCTTTATATTTTTCTATGATGTCTTCAGGACTCAGGCAGTTCTTGGCACGTCCTATCTCAGCACTGGTATCTGCATTTATCCCATTGGAAGTCAGAGCACCTAGAACAGAACAGGGTCAGAAATGAGTAGAAGGACTCTTAGCAAATGCTAAATATCTAAAAAGTAAGCTAGGGTATGCTAGGCTTGACACAGAATACACAAAGTACACTTGCCCTACCTAGAAATAAAGGAAATAATCTTTCACTTAGTAAAAACCAAATATAATCATGATTTTTAGCACATATCTGAATGTTTAGACTATTAATAAAATAACAGATGGCTAAAATAGTATTATGGCCATATCTGAATAGATGCTTTTTATCTTTGAACTATCCCTTCTTTTACTTTAAAACGGTTTTCCTAAAGCACACCTTAGGAAAACAAAAAGGCTCAGATGATACAGTAAGAAATTGGTTTTCTTATATAAGAAAGAAGGCAAGAGACAGAAAGGGTCTATATAAAGGATAAGAATTTGAAAGAGATGCCAAGGAAATCTGGGGTATTAGTAAGAACATGAAAATTTTATTTTTAGAACTTGATTTTATTGAGGAGTTAACATAATAAAAGTGAAAACACATCAAAGGTTTGTCAAGGCTCAATACCTTCTTACATACTACTTAATCTGTAGGATTATACTGTAATTTATTTAGGATTATACACTAATTTATTTCTCCAAGGGGTTTCCTGGTAAAATGGCAAAAAAAATCTCTGTGTTTCAGAGCTGGCCCTAACTGTCAACAGACAGTTAAAACTACTGTGAAAGGTATTTCTGAATATACTGAGGGAGCAAAAAGAATGTCTCTTTATATACTTAAATGCTAAGGCAACTTTTTTAATGTGTATTAACCTTAAGGAATCAGACCAAGCACATCTGGAAATTAAGAGTATTTTTATGGAAGTGAAAGATGTTTGTTCATGATGACTGAGGGAGCACTATGACACTACAGAATTACAAATGACCATTCAGGTTGGTCACTTCAAAAACATTTTAAAACCCTTGCTACTCGTGGAAAGAAATCCTGTTGATTAGAATTTATGGAGACATAATCAGGGAATTACAGCATTTATTTTGTGCCAGTTACCCTTCAGTCTCTATAATTTCTCAACATTTATAGCCAAAATCTGAAGCATCAGGGATCACTAGTAGTTCTGGCAAGTGGCAATACCTATACAATTGCAAAACACATCAAGTAATACAAGAAAATACTTTGGAAACATGCAGGAAAATAATGTACCTGGATCAATGAGAACTTCTTGTGCCCCTAAAAGGAGGAACAAAAATGATTTTTTTTCAGCCTTAAATAGAGCCAGAAAAGTTCTTATAATGTTTTATAACATCAGGCTTGAACAAAATCATCAGATTTATCAGGATTATCACTGATATTGTGAAGGACTACCAATTATAATTCAAGTCACCATATGTTAAATCTATTTTTTTAATAAATAAATGTAAAAGTCTTTAAAGTTGCAATGAGTTCTAAGACATACTAAGAAGAATTTCAGAATTGTCAGTGTATAATTTAAAGCCAAATCTTTTTTCCTTTATTGTTTTGGTTAGCAGGTTTCCACTACAGTCCATTTAGTGTTAGTGCCAGGACCTACAGTACTTAAATCTCCTTATGGGAGCTCATTTAATCTGCACACTACTCTAGAATAACATTTCCAAGTAATCTTACCCCTTTTAACTGTCATTAATTTTTCTCCATCGAATTTTCTGAATACTTGAGTTATGTCAACCCAATAAGCCAGACTGTCCATGTAAGAGTTGGATTATCAGGTATGGAACACCTCATTGCCCTAAACTCTGGTTAAACATGGCAATAAGATTGCTCATATCAAGGGTTAAGCAGTCAAAACCAATTATTTTATCAGCAAGACAGACCCTCCCTTCTGAGTTGATTTGCTCAGATTCCAGACAAGTGAAGCAGAGATTTAGATCCAGACCCAAATATACACCAACACTTCACAATTCTGCCTGGGGAAAGAGGAAGGTCAGGCAACAAAATCAAGATCTTAGAACTCCCAACAAATAAAATCCAGTGGAGAAATCCAAAACAGCCAGTGACCTAAGCATAAAGCAATCCAGACTCATCTTGTTTGACAAATCCCATTACAGACCATATCAGATTTCCTGGCCAGGAGGAACTGAGCAACTCAGAATCTTCCTTTACACTAAAGGCTGCAGAGACACATCCAGGAATCTGAAGGGACACGACTTAAACCTGTCCCCATACAAACAAAAGTGTTTAGGTACCTGAGAAGTCAAAGCTCCCATTTCACAGAATGGTTTGGGAAGGGACCTTAAAGACCATCAAGATCCAACTCCAAGCCCCTGTCCATGGGCAGGGGCACCTTCCACTAGAGCAGATTGCTCAAAAACCCCATCCAACCTGACCCTGAACACTTTCCAGGGATGGGCAGCCACAGTATAGAGCAGAAGCTTCTTTGTATTTTGGAGATTTCTTTCCAAAGCTGTTTCTACATAAAGCAGACACCCCGTTTTCTGAGCAGCCAGGTCCTATGCTGTAGCCTAAAAATGCCTAAATGCCTAAAAATGATGGAAATCACAAGGGATTCCAGGGGAAGATGTTTCTCTTGGCTGGATCTTGGCAGGAAACTTCATTCTGTGAAGGCTGAAGTACAGGCACAAGAAGAGGTGCAATTCCAGGTACAAGAGGAAGCACACTAAAGGTAACTCTCATATCTACATGCCTCAAAATCAGGCACAAATGTCAGTTCCAAGTGTGACATTTCTTGATTTGTGCAGAATTTGGAAACCCTGTTTTTCGGGCTGTATCCCACAGAAAGACACAGTGGAATTTATTCCCCAGATTAAGCACTGTCCTCACAAAATCAATTATAGGGAAAGAGACTATAACCGAAGGTGCAGTCTGAAGAGATTTTGTATGAAAGGCACTGCAGAGTCAGGAATCAGTAATAAAAAGAAACTTTCAGAAAACTTTGTAGGAAAATGACATCACTGTAACAGCTGTTTGGCCAGAGAGAGCTCAGCAATTCACACTTCAAAACACAGAGATCATGACTAGAGTTAGAAAACAGTATCTAATGGGCCACAAAGTAATATTTTCATCGGCAAAGGATGACAAGAAAAATCTGTAATCAGTTTTTCTTCACAGAAAAATCCTTTGAAAAATCTTGTCATGTGAAACTAAAACATTTTTAAAATACAACTACACTAACAAGTTTGCAAACTGAACTTTGAAATACTAGACGACTTAAATAGAGACCCAACAATAATATTCCCAAATTATATTCAATTATCCTGATAGCTGTGACTTATTTGTTACCTTCTTTAGTAACCAGGAGTATCCATGACAAACAAACAGATTGCAGTATCTCCTGATAAATATTCATTGAAAAGTAGACAAAGTTCACTAACCAGATGAAATAATAATAGCTAATGTAAAATGTATTCATAGGTCATGGGACCAAATGCATAGATTTTAATGACGAGATATTGTATAAAAATTAGTATTCTGCCCTGAAATAAGGTAATTTTACTATCACAATTAGCTGATTTGAACACACACAGCTCATAATAAAAGTAATACAAAGCAAGTGTTTACTTGATTGTGACTTATAAAAGAATAAAGATGGGTGGTTGCTTCTTTTGGATGAAGGAATTAATTTTGACCACATTGCACACAAGAGAACACCAGCACTTAAACCCAGCTATGTTTCAGTGCTGAGTGAATGCATACCCAGCAGCAGCTGTGCTGGGTTAGCCCAAAGGCCCATGCAGTTCACACTAATCAATGTCTTTCCATTTCCCAGCCTGTTGTATTTCCATTTCCCTACCCCAGCCCAGCCACAGAACCTTTCAGGAGCTGTAACACCATGTGACAAGTGACAAGTGTCAGGTTATGGGACAGGCTCATCTGCACAAACACAAATGAGCAGAGAGGATCAGTGACCATGAGCTGCACCCCAATAACCAAATGGGAGCCAACAGAGCAGTGTGGGGGTGAAGCCCAGCAGCTCAGTTACAGGAGCAGCTCTCTGGATCCCCTTACAGACAGACTGGGGGGTCACTCCCTACAGGGATATGGGGCTCACTCTAGGGAAAGACATCTTGGGATTGTACAAGATTCCTTCTGGGATGTAGGGGGCCAGCTAAACACAAGGAGAAGGAGGGACTGAGGCAGTTTAGGGAACAAGCATGGAAAAACAGAGGGGAGTGGACGTGTGTGTGTGTATTGGTCTAAGCACCAAAAACTGGAATGGGCTCTGGGTCTCAGCCCTGTGGGTTGAAGTGCCAGCAACTGGTGCAGTCCAGTGGGCAGCTCCTGGATAGGCTGAGGCTGTCTGTGTGTTCCCTGTGTGTTCCTCCAGGCCTGCTGGGAATTCCTGCCCAGCCTCCTGTCTGCCTGGGCCTGGGGACATAGAGCTACAGCAGCCTTGCCTTTCTCACACACACCACCAGATCTCTGAATGACAAGGAATTCCATGTCATACCTGTAGGCTGGATAAAGAGCAATTCCTTTAATCTGCTAAGCTCTGTTGGATGTTCTCCAGTTCTTCTCTTGAAAGAAACACTGAACCTTTGATCTCTACTCATCCTTTTCCACCATGTTCACTGTATTACAGATTGGTCTCATATTTATTCTCAGCCATCTCTTTTGCAGTCCAAGAGTTTAGAAAAAGTATACTCAACCTTAAAAATTACGTTAGTTTACTGGCATTTCATTTAAAAAAATATTTATTACTCATTGACTTTAGAATAGCAAAAGAGCTCTGAATAAAATGTACCAAATTTAATTCTTTTTAATACATGCAGCTCTGCCAGATCATATTTTATAAAAACTGTCTGTATTTCCTCCAGTAAAATTCAAATTAACACAGACACTAACAATCAGGTGAAGAAATCAAAAGCCCTAGACCTCCCTTCTCTGATTAATCCTGTCATCTGTATAATTTTACAGAGTTAGGATGTAGGGAGAAGTTTTCAGATGTTTAGTGGTGGCAAACAGAATGAAACTGAAATGCCATCCTTACCTGGCCTGTGCCTGTTGCCTGCCTCAGCAGAAAGGGAACCTCCTTGAGCCCTGCGAGATCCAACTTTACCCCCAGTGCCCCCTGGGTAGTGATAGATGACAGATGCTGAGCACAACCCCTCAAGGGCAGCTGCAGAGAAAAGGAAAAAAGCCAACAGATTAGTAGAGACATTTGCAAGAAGTGAAGTTATCCTGTGGTAAAGTCTATTTACACAAACAAAATATGCCTGAAATTGGAGGTCTAATGACAAAGACCATGGAAAATTCTAAGATATTCAACGTGCTTTTTACGTGTGTGCTCATCCTCAGAGCTCCAACTGCCCCAACCCTACTGAAAGAATTTGCAGGTGTAAGAACTTGTCACAGTACAGGAAGCTCACATGAAAAGCACTTAATCCAACTGGATGCAATTCCACAAAACCAGGTAAGATGCCAAGAGAGCTGACCAAGGTAAGGCCACTCCCTCATCACCTCTAACAGGTTCATGCCCACTGGGAGAGGTTTCTACTGGAAAAAGGGAAATGTCATCTTCCTTGAGAAGGAAGTACCAGCACAGATAGATCAACATCAACTCCCTAGAGAGGCTACACAGAAATCCTGCTGGAAGCAGGAAAGTGAAAGAAGGTGTCTGTGAACAGCACACATCAATTTATTGAGGATAAATCAGTCTCTGGCAACCTCACTGCCTCCGATGAGGATATGACAAGCTCAGTGGACAAAGGAACTGCAGTGAATGTTGTGTATTTTGGCTTTCAAAACATTTTTGGACATGGTCTCACAGAATGCTTGCAGCCAAATCAGGAATATTGGGATAGCTGGCCTATAAAGTAGGTGGAAAATCAGCTCAGACTCACAGGTTTGTGATCAGCCAAATGGCTGCCTGTGACCAGTGGAGTCCCTCACATGCCTTTATTAACTGCCTGGATGATTGATGGAGCACCACCCAGAAATTTCCTGGGTGACATCAAACTGAGGGGAGCAGTAGGGCAGGCCTTCAATGCACAGAGAACTTGCCAGGCTGGAGACAGGGGCTGGCAGGAGCCTCATCCCAAAGCAAGGCTGGTGGGAGGTCATCACAAGGGCTGGGGGACTGGAGCTCCTGGCATATGAGAGGCAGAGAGAACTGGGCTTGCTCAGCCTTACAGAACAAGAGGCTGAACAAGGTTGATCTTCCTGCTGCTTTTAAAACACCCATTGGGAAGGTAGGGGAGAGATGGAGACAGTGACTGGATGAGAGTCAATAAAAGTGGACACAAGAAATTCTGCTTTAAGCTGAGACCAATTTATGTTTTGTTGTTGGTTTTTTTTTCAAATTATAACCATCAAAATGTTAGAACAGGTTGCTCAAAGCCTGTAGAACTTTGTTAAATATACCTGAAATTCAACTGGACAGGTCCCTGAACAACCTGATTTAACTGCATGCGATATAAGCAGGAGATCAGACTTACAGACTTATCAAATTATTTGCATTGGAAGAGTCCTCTGGAGGTCTCTAGGCAGAATTTGAAGAATCTTAAGCCACTTAAATTTTTCGAATTGTAGAAGGAAAGAAGTGGGAGGTCAAGAGGTGTTAAGGTTTTCATAGTATGTAATCTACAGGGCCATTAGGAAGATAAATTGGTTTTCTTGTGGAATTAGAAAGCTAAAAGCAGAACTGGAGAAAATTATTTTCCTGAAAGAATATGAAATTGAGAAGCAGAAATTGTGCTCAAAGATCATTTTGTATCATTTGTATGGCCAATAAATAACAAAAAGCAGGTATGGAAAGAAAGGAAGGAAAGGATGGAGGAAAGGCAAGAGAAAAAAGCAAATCCTAGGACCTAACATGAAAGGAAATTATGCCAGTCACTTGCAGCTTTGAGAGTTGTAATGGCAAAAATCTTTTCCCAACAATCCACAGTGTACACCCATAGGAAATATTTTTAAAACACCTATACAGTGAATAAAAATCAAATACTTTCCAAGGAATTATGAAAAAATCAGACACAATTTTTTTAAAGCACATGCTTTACTACAGTAACATAATTTATCCTGTTTAGGTTTTCCTAAACACATTCCTTTCTCATGTCTTATTGACCAATTTTTGCTTCAATTCAACTCTTACTCACCTGAAATCCAGATTTCTGTCCTCACTAAATAATTCCTACTTTTCACAATGCCTAAGGAAATTACAGTGGATAGTTTGATTTACTTGGGTTTAGCTACTGCCACCACCTAACCCTACCTCCAAGCCACAGGAAGTCGTTGACAGAGCGCAGCAGCTCCACTGCCATGTGATAATGCACCAAGGAATCCTGCAGCATCCCAGCCTGCAGGCACAGGTCCCCCACGTGCTTCCGCATCCGGCCCTGGCAGCGCTTCTTGTAGTGCCTGCAGAACGACAGGGGCACCTCAGTTACTGGCAGGGAATGCCTGGCTGGGGTAATCAACACCTCAAGTCAGTTTTCTTTCATCTTCAATAGCAAATCAACATTGGTTTGCTCTCTGGGGCCCTAAGCAAATATGAATGCTAACTAACGTAGTATGCAAAAGGACCAACAATTTGAGGATATACTGGAAAAAAGCAAGATATCACATGTTTTGGCTATACAGCATTTACACACCTAGAGTCACAAGACCTGAAAACCTCCAAAGCAAGGTTCCTGCAGACTACACTGAGTATTTGGCTGCCTGTCCGTAGCTGACATGCTGCTATTTTGCTTTCACAGTACACCCAAAAGCTCACTGTTAAGCCAGAGTGGTCTCTTGTTCAGCCTTTTTCCTTTCCCTCAGTAGGGGATGGATTGTTCTTGTGTTTCCAGGAAGCTGTACTTGAATAAATCCCAGAAGGCCATGGATGCTTCCCATGGAATTCCTCACATTTTGGCTCTGAGCATATTAAAGCTGACCTTTCCCAAATCCTGCTCTGGGCCTCCATCTCCTCTGCTGGGACCCTCTCCACACACAGCCCAAAGGCATCAGGGGCCCAGAACCCCCCCAGATCTCACAAACCTCCCCCTGCTCCCAGTCCCTTCTTTTAAAGGGATGGTGAGTGAAAAAGCACCATCACTTCAGGCAACAGCTGACAGGGCTTCTCCTCCTACTTTTTTTACATGTTAAAATAAAGGGTGATGTTCTTCCCAAATGAACAGATAAAGTCTACTGAATATATTCAACAGACACCTTGATACAGCTGAAAAGGCAACTTGGGCATAAATCTGTGTGATAAAGGCACTCATCTTAGTGTTTTATTTATTTTTTAGTACGTTTCAGCTAAGGAAATATAACAGACCCAAAGGAAGACACACTGGACTTGGAAAGCACCTCATGGTTTAAGTGATCATTCAGAATAACTCTGCTCTCCCAAGTCCATGAACAATCCTCCTGCTCTCCCTCCTGCAAAAGTATTCCCTGGCAACAATGTGCTTGCACTATAATTATGAAGTTGTTTTATGAGGAAGAAATTTAAATGTCAACTTAGATATTTTATTAATTTATCTATGTTACTTTCAGTAGTATACCCTGTTGTTCTACCAGTGTCTTCTAAGTACATACAGAGAGGTATGCAAATTTACTTTCCACACATCACACCAAGGAAAAATAGACTCTTATTTCTTTGGATAGTTTAAACTAAAATGAAAGTCTATCAATAATGAAAATTTAATTAGAGTAATTGCTGCAGATGTCATTCTTTATTGTATACATGAAGTCCCAAGAATCTGGTAAAAATACAAAGAACCATCTTGTATTGACATAGTTGTAAAATTTGAGTTTTTAGGAGATGTAGTGATACTTTTTCAATTTAATTAATTTCATCAGAATAGCTGTCGAACAGGTTGCCCAGAAAAGCTGTGGATGCTCCATCCTGGAAGTGTTCCAGGCCAGGTTGGACAGGGCCTGGAGCAACCTGGAATAGTGAAAGGTGCCCCTGCCCATGGCAGAGGGGGTGGAACAAGATGATCTTTAAGGTTTGTTCCAACCCAAACCAGACTGTGATTTTTTAAAAAGTTACTGAGACTACTTGAACAACTTTAACAAAAAAGAAACCCAAAAAACCCTAGGGTTACACCCACTCTCCAGATGCTGAACTCTTATTCCCTAGAGTGAGACCTGACTGTAAGAGGAATGCCAATGTTTTGGGTTTGGGCAGTGGGGTTTTTTTCAAGCAAAGAACTTGCCAAAGGACCTTAGAGATGAACTGAAACAGCACTGAAATCATCTCCATAAGGCATCTGAACAAACTGTCTTCATGAAGTCTGGAATGTAGAAATGATAAAAGGAAAAGAGGCACAGAACATACGAAATACAAGGGTAGGAATAAGGACATTCATTTATTTCCTTTAGATTTGAAGGCAGAAAGGCCAGGAGGAATGGCAAGAATCCAAACAATTACATGTTACTGGTTTATCTGCCTTCAAGGCTATCAGTTTGGCTTGGGTAGTTTACACCAAAGAGAAGCATCTTTTCAGCCACCAAATAATGTCTTATTCCTTGCAGTTGGTTTGGGAAAAGGAGATGAACAGAAAGTAACTGATTTATATGGATGGGGGATAGAAATTGAAAAAGAGAAGTACAGACAATGGCCTTGCAAAAACTAAAGAGAAAAGCTATCAGAACCAGTGTTACTGTCTACAAAGAAAAAGGAAATAATAAAAGGAGACAAGAAATATGTCTCCTATTGCTTCTCTCCATCTAAAAAGTTACAAATAATTCCTCTATAAATGTTTGCACTTTTCTGATCCATCATACCATATTCACAATTGATGTGAAGGTGTTGACATTAAATGAAGCTCAATACAACTGTTGCTGTTTTTCTTTCAGATGCGTTAGGAACTTAAATATTTGTCTTTTATTTTTCAACAAGTGTGTATTTTATAGATCTTTTAAGAACAAAAATGCAAGAAAATTCAAAGTGAAAGCTAAAGCTGCTCTGTATGAACTATGGAAGGGCACCAAATCTTACCAAGATTCAGTCTGAGCTTTGAGTTATAGAAAAATAACTCTATCGAAAAGTGCCTTTGTAATCTGGAATCAGCATTGCACAGGAGAGCTTAAATTGGTTATAAATCAGATTTTCCTACTCTCTGCACTCCAGATTGAAAATAACATTGTAAATGTTATATTGCTTTAACTTTTTTGTTGTTGTTTTTTACGTACGTAGTGGAATTGGAGAATTATTGTTTCCTTACACAGTTATAATTCCTTTCAAAGATGCTACTGCTTCCAATTCTCTCTCTACACTTTCAAGCAATCTTTATGTTTATGAACAAATTCAAGTTCTTATTCTCTCAAAAGTATACTTTATAAGTGCTCTTCCACGTTTTCCACCTAGATGATTAAGTTGATAAATACGAGTCTTACAGGAAAGGAAAAGAGATGATGCCTGACTCCTAAATCAGGACCTGATACCAGAATAGTTTCGATCACAGTGCCTCACCACCAGCTCTTCCTAACCTAATTCTGCTGCTGATTTATGCCCACGTCAATATATCTGAAGTTTGAAGGCATTTATTCACCCAGACATCAATAAACATTGCTCATAAAAACAATGTTCTTTGGGAAACTCTCCTTATTTATAGACAAACAGATAATTTATTCCTGGTGAAGAAGAAATTTACTATTAATTATTCAAAAACTGAATTCACTCCACCTATTTTTAGGCTCTTCAAGGTATTGCCAAGACAGGATCTGTCTCTTACAGTCCCTGCAAGTCTCTGGCATCCTCTTGGAAAATATTTTCTCACTAATGATAGTTTAAGTTTGTACAAAACAAATGTGTAAACTGTGTCTTAATTAGGCACTCACAATGAAGTACAATGAATTAAATCACTTCAAGTACGTCCAAAAAGACAAAAGGCAAAGACTTCATTGAAACGAAACCCACTCGCCACAGACAGCAAAACTTAATTCACTTCACATTTGGGAAGCCTCTTTTTAAAAAATCCAGTATCTACAATATCAGGCCCTTAAAACCATGTCCCAAGAGACTCATTGTTTCTTCATGTCTCTTCAGTCCATCCTGGGGTGCAAATTTAAAGGGAAAAAAAGTCCTGTATACATACACATTCATATACATATATATATATATATATGTCTCAGAATAAAATGATGATTGCTCGTTTTAATACTGAGCAAGTCTTGCTTCACAGCTTTAGCTGAAGAAGCTGAAAGTGAGAAGCTTACAGATGTTTTCTCTCTGAGTTTTTTTTTTTAAACACCGTTTAAATATTTTGGTTCTCTCCTGCTTAATCCTAATCTATCTGGGGACAGGAAGCCCATGTAAATTAACAACCACTTCCTCTGGAATAAAACACAACCTTTTACTAGGCCAGTTCTTTACAGCACCCTACTGCCACGAGCAGTTCCTATTAATTTTTTCTATACATCATTTACAACATTAAATTTCAAAGAAGCACCTGAAGTGTCCCCCTACAAAACCCCTTCCTGAGTGTGATGCACTCAGAAACATCCCCAGGGAAGGCAGTGCCACCTCGTGCAGGACCACCCATGGAATGCTCCTTGGTGTCAGTCACCCAAACTCCTCTTCTGAAGGGCTTCACCACGGGGAAATATTCCACTGACTACAGAACTAGTTTAAAATCTAATTTTCTAAAGTTAATTGGGTTAATGCTGTGCCAAACACACTCTAATATTCACAGGAATCACTACAATCATGACCAGTCACCACTGCAACCACTTCAAAGGGGAGGACAATAAATCTGCTCCAGGAACCACAAAGAACTAGATTTCCATCTCTGTCTTATTTGCTCTATAGGATATGTGCTTTATTCTTTCATCTCCAGCTGTTTTCTTTCATCCCAGCATAATTTTATGGAAAATTCAGTGCAACAGCATTACATTTCAAGACAGAATTTATTTTCACTACAAACCATCCAGAAACAAGTTTGACGGAATTTCTGGATCCTCAAAATTCGGCTAAATTTAAAAACAAGAAACATGCAAAATCAATTCTCAAAAAGTGTATTCATGCAAAATGCTCCAACAAAAATTTCCATCAAGTTCTACTAATTCCAGTTAGCATGCAGAGCTATAGGTATCACCAATCATAACATTATCCAGACTTAAAGAGACACAGCTACGGCATTGGATCAACTGCCAGAACTTTTGAATTTGGACATCAAACACAGGCAGCAACAGCTTCATGGCTTTGGAGTTCAAAAAATAAAGCAAATTCCAGAGGCCAGCAGCCACCTAAGCAGACTATGTGTGTCCTACAAAAAAACTCAGCATTGCTACCAAATATAATTGCCAAATGCGCCAAAAGGGGGCAACTGCAGTGGTGAGGCTCCAGCAGCAATTATTTTTGTGTGTACTGAAAAAATAAAGATAAAAAGCAACACTAAAATATGCAATGAAGGCGAAGTGGAGAGGCAGGACATGGGAGAAAAGCTAACTATTTTCAAAGATACACAATCACATCCTACCTTTTCAGACCCAACAACAAACTCACAGGGCAGTATGAGAGAAGAAGGGGGAAAAAAAACAGAAAGGAACAAAACAGAAATTAGAAAGACAGAGAACAGAAAGAAAATTAACAGCCACATACACATACTGAGAGCATCAACTTTGATAAATCAGTGCACAAATCCCAGCTATGACATGTAGAGAAAGACACATCTATAAACAGGGCCCTACATCCTCATCCCTCCACAGCATTAAATGATGCCAGTATTAAAAAAGAAAGAACCTAAGACACAAACTGATGCAAACATTAAAATGAGCTTATCCAAATAGATTTACAATCACACTGACGTATGTTTATTTTTAGCTGAAAACAGAAATAAAATAGAAAACTTAAAACAAAGGGGATTTTCAGTATTTCTGGCACATATGTTTCCTAGTTTTCAGTTTGTAGAACATTATTATCCTGAGAACACGTGTTTCCATTGTTCTCCATCAATCTCCCAGCCTCTACAAACTAACAAGTGCAACTGATTTCAGAAACTTCTTCAATTATCCTCAGCAGCCCTGTGACCACATTAATATTTTATCCAATTTACAGCTGAAGAAACAGAAAGAAAAAATAAATCAATCTGCCAAAATTCCCACGTAGCTGAATGCTCCAGGAATTAAAACAAGGTCAGCCTCTCAGGTTGTCCTGTTAAACAGAAATTGTAGTACTTTCTTCAAAACATTTTAGGACTTAACCCACTATTTTTAATACATGAAGTTTTCTACCAGTCAAAAAAAGTTCTACACAAAAATTCAGTGAGTTTGTGTATGTTGTCATCTCAGTTAGTTCTGGGAATGTGTCTCTTCTGCTCATTACATAAGCAACTTGCAAGAGACAAAGATCATCCTCACTTTTCCCAAGAATTACCTTATTTGAAATAATAATTCATCTTCCTAATTTATGAACTTTGCATCTTAAAAGAAGCCAATCGATTGGCTTCCATGGCAATTATCATGCAACCAAGCTAATGAAAGTCTTCTAACTGGGTGAGGGAGAAGATCAGGTTTATATATGTATCCCTGATCATCACATATGTATTAACCTTAATATTTGACTATAAAATAGCTGGAGAAGAGCATCTTTTAGGATACAAACTACGTTCAGTAGTTTTACTTAGTCTTTAAATCACATGATCGGAATTACGTGGCCCATTCTTGACATATTTTCCCCCTATCATCCCAATTGATCCAGGTTACAGCTGCACCACACAGTTAATTTGACCTTTGCTACACACTGCCATTAAATTTAATTTTAGAAGTTATAGGAAAAGATGTGCTTATTTAGCCTAAGAAGGTATCCCCAGTTACAGCAGCAGAAGCACACCCTCTGTTACAAGAACAGAGTGTGTCTTCTCTGCCACCTATTTAATAGAGAACATTTGTGCTTTTCTAGTAATTGGTTGCACACTGACTGGGAGGTTGGGATACATTATATACAAAAATTGCAAATAGACAGAAAGTATATAAAAAAAGATCAAGAGACTTTCTTTGCCTTTAACCCTTTAGAAATTTCCACCTAGAAAAAGCTGTTTCATTTGCCTCTATATCTCAATACTATCATGTTTTTATTTCTTTCTGTAGAATCATTATGCTGACAGACTCAAAACCAACAAAGTAGCAAAAGTTGTTCTACCAGATGTGCTCATACCCACTTTCTGCATGCAAACAGCCTTGAGCCCTCCCTGAACAGAATTACAGATCCAATCTTGCAAAAACAGAAACTGGCCTCTATTGAAGAAGGTCGTTCCTAGCCCTGTCTTTCCCTGGTATGCAGTGCTTTCCCTCAATTAGTCAATCTTGTCACTACAGAAGGGAATGTGCTAAAATAAAATCCTGTGAACTGCAATCCAAGCAATAAAAAACTCACAAGTAATAAAATGCAATGTTATTATCACCAACTCACATCCAAAGACTTTGGCTTGAAAGTGTAAGTTAGTTTAACAAACTGATCTGAGTTCAAGCTTATTCAATGGACCTGAGTTTCTGCTTTAGAACAGAGGGCAGAGATGCATCAGGCTACATGAAAGGTGCCTAGAAAGCTTCCTGTCCAGAGAAACTAGGAACATATTTTCATTCAGCTTTCTGAAGCTTTAATGTATAAACCTTAAGTTTTAAAACAATCCAAAAAGTACTAACTCCACAGCCAAACAGAACTGAAGAACCTTCTTAGTACTGAACTGAAAAATTAGAATATTTAACACCTTTTCCTCAAGCAGTTTGATGCAGCAAACATTTCAAGTACATCCATTGATCCAGACTTACTGAAAACCTGTTTGGTATTCAAACCTCCCAGCAAGGGTGTGTGCAGAGCTGAGCCAGTGATTAACTCTGGATAAACCCCTGTGTCTACACAGGCAGGGTCACACACCTTCCACTCTGCAAAGAACTGAAGCGTCACACTGAATGTGTTTGAACTCCTCACTGCAACAGCATCAAATACCTGCTTGGAGATGTGTGGGAACTCCTTCTGCTGTCACTCGAGCTCCCCACCAGTTCAGAACTTCACAAGGAGTATTTCCCACTAGTTACTACACAGCCACTGCTCAGAAATAAGTCATTTATTTAAGAAACTGATTTCCAAATTACAGTTTTTAGAAGACACAACTGAAGAGCCGAATTAATTCTGATTTTGAGATTCCTGGCCAACAAATGACATTTTCTACCTACTTGGAACAGGAAATTTTGATTACATTCAGCCAAATTTCATTCAAACTGAGTAATTAAAGACAAGATTCTAAAAAGGCTTGTCCAGTCTTCACAACTTTACCACCCACACACAAATGCAGTAACACAGTAATTCATATTGATAACTGAATGAGAGTGTAGGGACAAACCAGGGACCAACAAGTCAGAGCCAGTTCAAGTGCTCAGCAAAGAGGAGCAGAGCACTGGGTGGTCTTTCAAGCAACCACAGATAATTTAAGAAAAGGCTTCAAACTAATTAGAAAGCTGGGATGTTTTCTTCCAGTTTCCATGGCCAGGACTAACTGTGCAGGCAGAGCTGATGAATGTGATCCAAAAGCTAAACAAACCTGCCTGGATACCTCTGAGCTTTTACACACACTAATAACCTCTGCTGACATCCCTACAGTACAACACAGATTTAAACACCATTACTTCCACACACAGCCTGAGTTTTGATAGGGCCTCCCCACTGTCTTTGCCATGACAAAAGGTGGTTATTTCCATCCCCTGGATTTGACTTTAAGCAGCAAACAGATTTTGCACCTGCCTGTAGCTATCAAGCCAGAATTACTTATCCCTTGCACAGGAGCTATGCAACACAAAAATCTGAGATGAGTATGCACATGAGGAGGAATGAAAAATGGGGGGAGGAAACTTAAACATAAAAAAAACAAACAGGTAGCAAAAAAAGACAGGTAAAAAGCAATAACAAATAATTATATAAAACAAAGAAGGACAGGGAAAGATGCTGGACTTCATCATCAAAATAAACAGTCATTGTCTCATAGAATGAAAAAGTAGACAGAAGTCTAAAGAGAAAAAATACAGTAAGAAGGATTAGTCAAATATTACTCAACATGATATAAAAATAGTTTCATTGATGCTGACTGAATTTTTTTTATTAGTACTGTGTATCTATATCTATTGGAAGTTTTCCAGCAAAAAGTCTCATTACAGCAGAATCTGTCAAACCACTCCTGTGACTTCTTTCTGCTATTTGATGAGCTTCATCAATTAAATGTATAAACAAGCTCAGAACATGAAATACAGGGAGACTACAAGTTAAATTCTCTTAAAACTACAGCAGGCAAACACAGAAAGATCAGGGCACAGCCTCTGCTGGAACAAGGCTCATCTTGTCGTTTCTAATAGGCATATCCTAAAGTGTCACAGATGTGTTCTTTTAAGATCTGTGAGCTGACAAAAGTAGCTGCTTACCTACTATCGGTGTCCAGACCTACAAAATCCTTCTTCTCAAAAGGAACACAGAGCAGGGGGATCTTGTCTCCAGACTTATCAGTGGCTCTGTCAAGACGCTTGGACTCCAGCACTATGAAAAGGGACTCGATAAAATCTTCTATTCTCTTCTCCACAGTTTCACACTCGTTGTAACTGGGATAAAACGCTACATCTGTGCGGGGCTGCTCTGCAATCTCTCCTTGAAGCCCAAAGACAAACAACCGGGAATCATAGAGAGTAGAGCCATACATTTCCTTCTGAAGATGGAATTTTTCAAAAGTCTGAGGCCATTCCTTTGCTGAAGAGCACTCAGTGATAGTGATCAGCCCCACGACTTTGCGGTGTGTCTGGAAATCCCCCCACTCGTTGTTCTCCGGGGGATAATGGTGCCTGTAGCGGATGTAGAGCACTCGCTGCGAGTCGCGCACATTAACCTGGCTCACGGCTGAAATCCGCTTGTAGATCCTGAAAAAGCTCTCTTCAGGTACAATGCCAATGGGCTGAACCACGACCAGGAGGGTCTGATGATCCTCAGCACACTGCATGTAGTCAGGAACACTCATTTTGCATCAACTGCAGGCTAGTGAAAGAAAAATGCGTATTATTTTTTAACGTTCAGAAGTACACGGGATTGCTGAATCAAACCAGGGTTCCGACGCTAAACACTTCTGCATCGTGAATTTATGTGCTAAAATACCACTGTTTGCTTCATTATTTTACTAAATCTTCAACCATGCAACCTACTGATGTTACCCTGTGCACAAGGAGTACTTTTAGTCACTTATCAAACAAAAATCTGTAAATAAGGGTTTTCCAAGGGAATCTCACTCCCCGTGCAGCTACACAAACCAGCTCGCACAAGTCTCTACCACAGCCACTGGGCAGAAATACCAGCTCAGAAGAGCCTGTCAGACTCAGGCTCTTCAGTCCCATTTTCCTGGGGAAAGATGCAAAATTGTGTGGAGTGAGATGTAAACAAGCACCAAACCGGGATCACCAAACGTTACACAGCTGTCAGTGCTTGCACGTTGCCAAAGCAGAGGAAAATCAGGATCAGAACACCTATTTTTGAGGAAAAGCGAAGTTTTGCTTTCTCAAAACACACATGGGTAAGGATCAGATGTTTTCTGCCTTTACACTTAAGTATTTAGAATCCCTTTTCTCCTGAGCTCTCTAAAACCGATTACTGCACTATAGCTGAGTCTTGAAAGAAGATGCACATCCCTGAGTCCTTTCATGTCTGAGACCTCCTGGACACCACTGATCCCTTCTTGAATTTCAGCTCCAAAGCCCTGAACCGTAAATAACACCA